TCTGTACAATGACCTGGCCTTTGACAGCAGCGAGGCTGTAGGTGACCTTGTTTTGATAAAGACCTCACTGTTTTTGTCGTGCAAATCAAGTTGTTCTTATGTTAACTACAATAGTTTGCATGGTCTGTATCAAAGCAAGGCCACATCCAGCGTCGCTTGCAATCATAGGCCGGATAACTAAGCACATAATTGTAAAATGGCCTATTACAAACACGAGAGAGCCATGCAGTGCGCCTACAAACGTTAGCTACATAGCAGGAGCAGGTGTAATGTAGGGGGCGAGTTGAAAAGAGGAGCGCGGAAGAGACGCGGCTCCTGGGTTTTGTTCCAGGGGCAAGCTTCGGGAGCAAAGCTCCTCCGTGTGTACCAACCATTTCATGGGCGTAATTCATTCTCGGGAGCAGAATTTCCACCCTGCAAAATGCTCCACAACATTAAACCGGTCAAATATTTGGGAGCAAGAATATTTTTAATGAAAGTTTTACAACTCGANCACATCCAGCGTCGCTTGCAATCATAGGCCGGATAACTAAGCACATAATTGTAAAATGGCCGATTACAAACACGAGAGAGTCATGCAGTGCTCTTACAAACGTTAGCTGCATAGCAGGAGCAGGAGTAATGTAGGGGGCGAGTTGAAAAGAGGAGCGACGAAGAGACACGGCTCCTGGGTTTTGCTCCAGGGGCACGCTGCGGGAGCAAAGTTCCTCCGTGTGTACCAACCATTTCATGGGCGTAATTTCATTCTCGGTAAGAAAATTTCCACCCTGCAAAATGCTCCACAACATTAAACCGGTTAAATATTTGGGAGCAAGATCCCGGGGGATAATTGAACAAACTTGAAAACGCTCCCTCGTGTGTACCATAATATGGAGCAAGCTCCCGCACTATGCTCCCCAGTGTGGACTAGTCGTGCAAATTGACCCTGGAGCACGCTCCTAGAATAAAACCCTTCGTATGTATCGGCCTTAAATCGTTGCAGAATTTTGACCAGCCCAATCTTAAGCTCTAAGAGGGCCATTCTTATGCCGATAAACTGCTTTGGACCCAGTCCAAAGGGCACGTAGGAAAACGATGGGCGCTTCTCGATCTCTTCTGGAAGAAAACTATCTGGGTCGAACTTCTCCGGCTATGGTAAAGAAAAATGTTAAAAATATCGTCAGCGGACCGTCAGCAATTTAAATAAACGTAACATCCGTAAATAACTGGAAGCATCGGATCTTATCGCTGTAGATGATTTGATAATTGAGCTATGAGTGATAACCAGACAATGAATTAAAGCAAGGCGATTTAACGATACGGAAACTATATTTTTAAACCAGCCAGGACAAACAAGAAGACAGTCAACTAAAGGTGTACAGGCTATGCTTTACAAAGTCTGATTTCGATTTTTAAACATCATTTGGACCGTTGATATAACTCTAAGATAACGGCTCTACGCGGCCATCATGGCAAGCGAACTAGCTGAGAAACGTAGCGAAACGGACCAGATATTAACCAGGACAAAGAAACAGACAGATATATATATTAAGGCCAAAAAAAAAATTATTTTCAACTATTACATAAATATTTTGGCTCAGTTGTTTATAAAGCCATTCCACAAACAGTACGTCTGGGCTGCCTGTGAGAAGGGGTGGCCGCTTAACTGAGAGGTTTGACTATATATGCAATATCGCACTATTTAAGGTTTTCCTTTTTTCGTTGCGGGTGTTGAGCAAGGTCAAGAGAAAGAGCAAAACTGAACAAGAGCGAGATCGAGAGTTTTAAGAGCAAGAGTTAGAGCGAGAACAAACTGTGAACAAGAGCAAGCTAGAGTAAGATTTTCTTAGAGCAATAGATCATAGAGCGAGAGCAAGAACAAGAGCAAGACGATTTGCTGACTCATTACCTCGGGTCAATATTCAGGATCCCGATGAATAGCATGCGCTGGTATGTTGACACTGACACCTTCAGGGAATTCCACTATGTTGATAACATACGTCTTCATGCAGTACCAGAACATCTCCAAAGTCAACTGAGCTGTGACGCAGGCCCTCCGACACATCATGGTCCAGGTACTGAAGACTCTGGACGAATTCGCCATTTGGAGCATCGCCACGTGACCTGGTGGCGTGGTCAATCTTACGAAGAAGTTTCTCTTGTACGTGTGAGTGATGTGCGACTGTAGAACGCAAAGAATGCCATAGTCGTTCCGTTTGTTTACCAGCAGGCGATCAAAAATAAAACCGACTGGGTGACGATCCGGCTTCGTCAGTCAATTTCTGCGTGCCTTCATGAGCTGAAAAAGATCTCTGCGACCGCTCGACGAGATTTTCCTCTTCTCCAAAATGCTTTGCGCCAGGGCCATAAAATACAGAGAATGTTGAGAAAGACCCAGGTCGAAAAATTCTTTCACTTGTTTATAGAATGGGAACATTGACATTGCGCGGACGTACACCGGCGTTTCTAAAACTGTGAGCGCCTTCTCCACCATTTCTGGGTTCGGGTCGGTTTGGACTTTAGCGTCCAAGCCAAATCCTGCGCCAGAATGATGTCTAACTAGAAGAGACCAAATGGTCACAGGACGTCTATGCGTCTCTCTAGCAAAGAATAGTGCATTTAGGAGTCTATCACCCTTGAGCTCTCTTGCAGAATCTCACAACCAAAACACAACGCAGCCTGAGGGTGAAAAAGACAAAGACTCGAACTTCTAAGTTCGCGTGTTGTGTAATTCATAGTGAAACACAACGGTATTTTGGGTCATTTTGGCAACGTACAAAAATAACTTTAAATTGAAGGAAACCTTAAAATGATAGTTTAGTAAGATGGAAAAAATTAATATCAAAGAGATAATTTTGAGCCATAAAGGAATCGAATAAGGATCAAAAAACTCTTCAAGATGTGCAAACCGTGACGTAGCTCCTTTAAGAACACGATGACATTGCAATCTTGACCGAGAGATTGCGTAACGAGCCCTGAGAGCGTCTGCGTAGGAGACTACTCCATATATCCCCCTTCCATTGTGCGATACTTCTGACGTCACATGACAATAACTTTCTTTATCCAGTAGTTATCAGTCATTTTAGATCTGCCATCCGGCTTGAGTTGGGTTTAATTTTTGACCAAACCAAATATATCTAAGTTGATTGTTAAACAATCGAAAACAATGCACAAATGTTAACATTTTCAAGGTAGTCAGGAAAGAGTTTTCTTTGTTTGAAAAAAAAAAAGAAGAAAAAAAGGAAGTCCTTAAAAGCCCCTAGACTTCTGTCAGGTACAGATGTGTCGTTTATCAGGTACAAACATGACATGACCAAAAAATTAAAATATTTTTTCGATGATAAAGGATTTTCGTTTTAGTTATTGATGTTACAAATACTTTTACAAGTTT